CTTGACCGTCACTGGAAGCTTTATTATTGAGACCTGTTTGTTATCGCCTGGTGACGCCACTAATGTGCTAACGCCAATGTGATAAGAATTTATTTGGGATTTTTAAAACACAATTTATTAGAAAAAATATATATTTTTTACAAACATAAAGTTACATATTTATTTGATTGATCTATTGGTGATCTAATAACAAAACAAAAACATAAAAAGTGCCTAGTTAATTAATAGGATTAAACAATTCCGTAACATTTAGATTCGAATCACCACTTCTTATCACTTCTCTTCTGTAGAAATTCTGAAATGTATTAGCTGATTGCCAATTTCCTCGAGATAGGATTTCGTCCAGGGGATGATTTTCTAGCCAACTTTTAGATGCTACTGCAGATCGTGTACTTCCTGGAGTAGCTATGATGCCAGCTTCTTTGAAAAGGGTTTTAACCCAGCCTGCAATGACAGTGCGTGAAGCAGGCTTTGGTACACCTCGGATTGTAATAAACAAATTAAATGAGTTTGAAGCATTTCGTCTTTCATTTAATAGTTGTATAGTTTTCTCTATCCAGAATATAGGATTTAGATTACAATTGTTGGGATTTGTAAGAAGTTTCCAGCCAGATTGTCTACGAGCACTACAATCCGTTTTTGAACCAAATTGAGGCCATAATATAATGCTACCATCTGATCTAATATAATAGTCAGGATCAACTCTAAGCAGCGTTAAGTCATGGATGCGTCTACCTGAGCAAAGTAATAATATAATCGCAGTATGGCGTGATATTTGAAAGAGATTGTTTACGTTTACGGTGTAATTGCTCATATACGTGATTAACTGACTAACATCCCAAATTGGTGGCTTAGGACACTTTGGATTTTTCAGAGAAATTGATTTTAAAATATGCTTTACAAGGACATGTGAACTTAATTGATTTGATCTGTCGGCATTACATAAGGTGGAAACAACAGATTTATGTAAAAGAATCGTATTATATGATAAATTATGAATAAGATGCAAATCAGATAAAAATTGAGCTAGTTGAGTACCTGACGGATTGTTCGTGTCAATGTTTTTAGACATAGACCAGGAAGTCCAACGTTTCCAAGCTACCTCGTATGTTTTCAATGTGGATTTACGCCAAGAATTTTTGAGCAATAACCGTTGTTCAGGGGTCCATGTTTCTATCGCTTCGGACCACCCCCACATTTCCAAACTTCGAGGATGATTTTGTCTACTTGTGGTGGTGGAAGCCCCGTCGATGTGTCGATCAGGTGCGTTTGTAAATCTTTCAGAGTTAGTGGTGGAGCTAGTGCGCGGACTTTGAGATCTGCACGCCAAAATACCTTCTCCCATCGAGGTACTATTATTAAAAATATTCCTGTTGATTGATTCAGGTGTGTTAGTACTTTTGGAATTAAGAACGGAGGTGGGAATATCCATGCAAGTGGATAGTTCCATGGTACACTGAATGCATCGTGAAACAGAGCTTGTCGGTCCTTCAGGTCTCGGGATACATAATTGTAAACTACGTGGGCTGTCTCTGATGCAAACAAATCTATTATTGGAGTTCCCCACTTTGCAAACACCATTTGCGTACAAGCTGGCATTAGGTGCCATTCCGGAGGTCGGCGAACACGTGACAAGTGGTCGGCATGGTTGTTGTACTTGCCTGGGAGATGGTGTATGCTGAAGTGTATTTGAAATTGGTCCATTAAATTCAGAATTTGATATGTCAATTTTATTAAGGGTATTGATTTCGTACCTCCTTCGTTCCTTAGATAGCTGACAGCTGTCCTGTTGTCGCACTGTATCAGGATCGAGCTGTTGCGGAGTAGGTGAGCGTGGTCTCGGAGGGCGCGAAATATGGCGAGCATTTCTTTTTGATTGGAATGCAATGTCTTTTCCTCTTGCGACCATTTGCCCGATACAGCCAAATTGTTCAGTTGTGCTCCCCAACCTTGGTTTGATGCATCTGTTGTCAGGAAGTTTATTGCCGGGGGGTAATGCAGAGGTGTTGATAACTGACAATTCAAGGTCCACCATTCTAGCTCCTTTCGAACATTTTTTGGCAATGGGTAAGTTTTCGATACATGGTCTGGTAGTGAGTTCATGAACATCAATAGTTGTCGATGATTGAGTCGGCCCCGAGGGACGACGTAACTGGCAAAATTTAAGAGCCCTATTATTTTCTGCAGCTCTTTTACAGTTACTATTCCTTGATCGAGAACTGAACTGACCTTTTTGATAAGCGATGAAGTCTTTTCTTTTGGTAGGGATTTTAAGTTGTCTCAGGGACTCCACAATATGCCTAAAAATGTTATAGTTTTTTGAGGACAAAGAACTGATTTCTCGAAATTTACTTGCCACCCAAGATTTTGTAACAAATCTAATGTGAGTTGTACGTGATCTCGAAGAACGTGTACATTTTGATTTGCTATTAAATAGTCGTCGAGGTAGACTATGATTCGGATGTCCCAGCGTTCTCGTAGTATTCGGGCAACCCAATTCGTTAGTATAGAGAATGTTTTCGGTGCAGTGCTTAAACCGAACGGAAGACAGGTCATTTCTAGCAGTTGTTGGTTGTAGATAAGGCGAAGGAAGCGCCTGTGTGATTTTGAAATTTTTAAGTGGAAATACGCCTGTGATAGGTCCACTTTGCACATCCAGTCTTGCGGTTGTAGGAAGTCTGGGATGCGATACATATTTATTAAATGGAATGGTTGGGCCTTTACGAATTCGTTTAACGCTTTCAGGTTGAATATGGGTCGAGCTGATCCGTCGGGTTTTGGTGTCAAAAATAGAGGGGAAATGAAACTCGGTGAGAGTTGAGCAACTTTTAGGATGCCTTGAGATTTCATTTTGTTTATTATTGCAGACATTTCTTGTGAGACAGGTGTTTGGAACGACCCGTTTATTACATTTGGGTATATCAGAGGCGGTTTGTGGATAAATGGTATGCGATAGCCTTGAATTAATTTTAGAACAATTTCTGTTGCCCCCATTTTCTTCCATTTCGAGCGGTAGTGAGCTAACTGACCCGCTTGAAACCGATTCGAGTCATTGTTTGTATCGTTTTTGGTTCCCTCGAGAACTTTTTGAATGGTTTGAACGTCCTCTACTTCGGTTACTTCCACGATCGGACCGTGAGCCACGGTTGTGAAATGAACCTCTACCAGCATACTGGTCAGATTGAAAGGAGGGTATACTGTGGCCTTTGTTTGTATGGTTGGTGCGAAAATATCCACCCCGCGAGGGTGAGTTATCATAGGTATGCATAGTATGTATTGGTATGCCTGGTTCATGGCAACAAATACAATGCTGAGCTTCACGCGATGAAGCTATTGGTTTTTGTACGCCTAGCCCCCGCGAGGGGCGGCGATTAAATTGATTAGGTCTGGTATGAGACTCTGATTTTGGAGGCCAAAAAGCTTTGCGTACACCGCCAGCTTTTTCTAATGCTGTGGCAAAGGAATCGGAACTAAACAAATGAGTTGATGATGGGGGTATTTTGTTCAGGGATGCTTTAACTAATGGGTCTCGAATTTGACTAGTAATTGCCTCTCGACGCATTTCTATACTTTCGGCTCGATGGCCACAAACTAATTGTATCAGGTCTGAAGAGATTTTATGCAAATCACTTTTTTGAAATAATTCTTCGACTTTCCTGCTTAAATTATCGTAATCGACTTGTGCACTTTTAGCCCACAAAAGGAGATTACGAATAGCTTCTTGTAAAGCTTCTTTTTGTTTAAGGATACAAAAAGTAATTGCAGCATATGATTTATCGGCATGTGCAAGATGACGTGAGGTATCATACGTCTTAATCTCTTCATTTGTGTCCAAGTCTATGAAACCTGGACTGTGGTTATAAAGTTTTTGAGTATCAGAATATCTAACTTCAGACCAGGCGGTGCTACCCAAATGCTGAACATCAAGTAACATTTTTAAAAGGTTTTCAGGAGTTTTTGGAACAGATGGTTCCTTAAGCTTTGTTTCGATATCAAAAGTGAAGTCTAAATCTGAATTTTGATTTTTAACGTTAGGGCTTTCTGGATATTGTTCTTCAATATGTTGGTTATATAATTCTCCACTGACTCCCGAACAATCTGATACCTCATCATGGCAAGCATTATGTATATTATTAACAAAAACTTGTTCGCGTAGCTCATGAACTTCTTTTATAAGCTTGTCCAAGGTCGAATTAGACTGTTGGGCGTGCTTATTCTTCTTTCGGCGAGAGCGGCGTGACCGCTTGCTACGTTTAGGAGAAGATGAACTTGAAGAGCTACTAGAGGTCGTGCTGCTACTAGAGCTGCTAACATTTCTTTTGCGGGTCTTTTTACTCGGGCCGGCCACAACTTGTGGTTCGGCAGCAGAAACATTTACTTGATCATCCATTATCACAATAAAACCTTCAAATAAATGCACATTCAAAAAATACAAAACACACTTTCAAATTAAAACATAATAAGATTGTCACCACACACAAATATTAAAAGCATTAATCATGTAATAAATCTTCGAATGGAATAATCCGTTGAAAGTATTGATCACTTTTAAAAAGTAGGGTAGGTACTTACAGTTTTTCTTCAAAATTAACTCACCATTTAATCGGCACAATATTGATACTTAATTGTATAAAGATAATAATTCGAACGGAAAAACCGTTAAAATATATTAAGAACAAAAGATAAGAATATTATAGTGTAAGTTCGTG